TTTTTTTTCAACACCGGAAAATAGCATTAGCTGAAGCAAACCTGCTCAGTTACAAACTACAGTGACAACGCTATTTCGCTAGCTAGGAGATTATAATTTCTGTAACTCGCAGTAAGAGGGAATTTTTGAGACGTACGTACTTTGACAGAATGGAACAAAACCATTGCAAATGTATTATATGCTGCCCAAAAACGACAGCGGCATCAACTTGGAATCTGATAGTGATATACATATTGAGTGGTGAATGGAATTGTTTTTTATGCTAAGGCAATCTTAGCAATAAACATTTTGCTAAATTCATCCTCGATTCACCGCAAAAACATGGTTTTTTGATGTTTATCACAAGCGATGATGCTGTTTACTGCGGGCTGAACTCATCAATTCTTCTTTATAAGACTCGAAACGAGAGACGCCAGCATCGATCAATTATCAGTGGCCATTCCGTTGAATGGCAACGACTTTGAAAAGAAATGGCGCAATGGTAGATTCATTGAGTGCTTGAATCTAAATGTTTCGGATATCACATCCAACACGACCATCAAAGAAACGTTCGTGCACAGAATGGCTCAATTTCGAGATTTTATCCAACGTTACAACTCAACACCAATTTTATTTGGTGGAACCTTACTAGGTTTATCACACTTTTATTATCACTGTTTTGGTGTTCACTTTATAATAGTTCCGTTTTCACCATTTCCCTATAATCAACGGAGACTACCTTAATCTTTATTTACCGCTCACTCAAATACTCCGGCTTTGAAAACATCTGACTTTCCTGCTATTTTGAGGAATTCCATTGAAATACGTTGAGTTAAATGCTTTTGAAGGTTGGTATCGTGAATGCGGCTTCATTAAGGACACAACAGATGTTGATTTCGCTATGCGGATCACTGAGCTCAATCAGGCAATGTTAAACGATTGGCGTTCAAATCGACATCTCAAACTGTATTGGATTCTCGGAAAGGCATAATTCATTGTTGAATTTTGAACGCATTTCATGTTGTCGGTAATGCCATGAATTGCAAAACGTTCCATCAGAAAAGAAATTTGAGGTAACGTGTTTTAACTGCTTATAGGTTGATGACTCACTCGAACTGAGTGTTCGCGTAGATTCGGTTAAGATCGATCTGTTCTTCATATACAATGACAATGAAAATGATTGGGTCGGAGGTATGATTGTGCCGAAGAAAGCCAAACTCAAGTGGACTTATCCCCACATCGACGACTTTTGTGTTGGTGACCTTTATGGCGTGCTTTTCAACGTTCCGTGCAATGTCGAAGATGTTCTTGAGGTGAGTGCTGCCAAATTGAAGCTTCTTTTTGAGCGTCCTCGCATCAAAGCATTGTTATTCATGCCTTTACAGGCTGATTACGGTGTCAACTGGACTATACCTCATCGAAGTGCTTCATTCGTATGGTATAAATCGCACAGAAACGTCAAAAGGAATGGATATTGGAAAAAGTCCGAATGGTCAACTGTTTATAAGCAGTTCAGTAAGAAAAAATCGGTCAAATAGTCTGAATGTGGCATATTCATTTCATCGGCAACATTTTTATGTGGTCATCGTTATGTTTGTTAATAGTCCGTCTTTCATTAAAGTAGTTATCAATTCACCTCGTGATACTGTGATGCGTACTTGAAAGGACGTTGATTACATTGCGCAATGCGATCAAGAAGAGGAGCATTGAGTGATGAA